GCATTTCCTCTGAAAATAAATACAAGCGATGAAAATCACTGAAGATGTCTGCTGTGGATGTGGTATATGTGTCCAGTTTCTAATGTTCTCCATACGCTTGAGTCTGCTAAACAACATAACAAAGAGAGAAACTTTAAACAGCTCATTTGTGTCAAACATTAGAAGAATCCCAGCATCAGAAATAAACAGACGGTTAAAACATCTCAGACTGCTGATTAAGCTGATTAATTGCTCTATTTTGACGGTACATGCGCAAAACGGAAAACGCAGGGTGCAAACGCATTCAGGGTGTGTCATAATCCATATTTTCTAATATAAGGAAGGGAAAATCCGTTTTGTGCCGTGGCGCATGGTCTAAAAAGGTTGAGTTTATTTTCTTAATGAGTTATAGGTGTGTTTTGAGAATAAACCAATCAGAGTCTCATCTCCCATTCCCTTTAAGCTGCGTCACGCCATAAGCTCATTTGCTATTTACATGACGTAAAGTAAGTTCACTTTCGCTCTCATGGATAGGGAAACCGTTACGCACAGACATCCCTTAGCCTATAAATAATAATTTTGTTTGTTAAGCTCAAAGATTTGTTTCAAAACTATTTCTAAATTCAGTTCTAATTTCCAGCAAACGAATAAATGAACAATAATAATAAAGTGTGGTCAAAATACTGAGTTAGTTCCAAATACACATGCTATGCCCCATATGGTCTAAAACCTGACAGGTGGACAAATCTTAGCTTGTTTTTAATAAAACAAATATAAATATGGATATAATAAATAATACTGCTAATAATGATAACATTATACAAAAGCAAATTGAATTAACTGAAAAAGCCTCCCGAGATGAAGGATTCAAGGCAGTGGTTTTTAAATTCATGTACGCTAGAAAATAATATGCTTTGTAATATTTTAATCATTTATATTTATATCCTATATATATATATATATATCCTTAATATTTTAATTATTTTTCATATGTAAAGATATTTGCGTATTGCTCTACATCTTGTGTAAGCAGCGTGTAAGCGAGGCGCACTCTGCGCCGGACTTTAGACCGGGTTTGTTCTGGTCTAAAGAACAGACTATTACAGTTTATCAAAATAGCAACGCGGCAAAACACGCCTGCTTTTTTAGACCAGAACGCCTATGGGCGCACATATGAGAACAAATGTATTTGCTATTTAAACAGCTTGGCGCAAAATGTCAAAACGACTCTTGCGCCAAGCTGAAACTAGCAAATAACAATTGCGTCACGCCTTGCGCTACATTGCGCCGGGTGTATGATAGGGCCCATACTGTGAATGACTGTTTTATATTGATTATATAAATATAGATACTTCTGCAAATCTGTTTTATCGGCAAAACTGGAATTATTTTAATAAAAATAATATAATGAATGAGTGCACCTCACTGAATGTGTAAAGAGAAAACATTAAATAAAATTTTAATTAACAGGAAAATTCATGGACGCCATGCATCCAAAATAAGAAATTTAGATTAGATTACAAGGGGGTGTAATTGTATTTACAATACCTTGTTGAATTTGAGTGTCGTGTTTTATTATCATGTAAATATTGTGAGGATACTCTTATGTTAACGGTTTAAAAGTGTTAATAAAATCTCTGCAATACACATGCTCATTATTCAATTAGAAACATTTATAATTTTCAAAAATTGTGCATAAAAATACTCCAGTGCATCCTAACTGTATTACACAATAATTAGGTTGTTAAATTTCTGAATGATAGAGATAAAAATAAGCATGTACACAGATATTTCTATGAAGATTTATGAGGAATAAAGATTGAGGAATTGTGTAACATTTATTAAACATGTTTGAATTTTTATTAGATAATATGCAGTTACCGGCCACTTTATTAGGTACACCTGTCCAACTACTCATTAACGCAAATTTCTAATCATCCAATCACATGGCAGAAACTCATTGCATTTAGGCATGTAGACATGGTCAAGACGATCTGCTGAAGTTCAAATCGGCATCAGAATGGGGAAGAAAGGTGATTTAAGTGACTTTGAGTGTGGCATGGTTGTTGGTGCCAGGCAGACTGGTCTGAGTATTTCAGAAACTGCTAATATACTGGGATTTTCACGCATGACCATCTCTAGGGTTTACACAGAGAATGATCTGAAAAAGAGAAAATATCCAGTAAGCGGAGTTCTGTGGGCGTAAATGCCTTGTTGATGCCAGAGGTCAGAGGGGAATGGCCAGACTATTTCGAGCTGATAGAAAGGCAACAGTAACTCAAATAACCACTCGTTACAACAGAGGTCTGCAGAAGAGCATCTCTGAACACACAACATGTCCAACCTTGTGGCAGATGGGCTACAGCAGCAGAAGACCACACAAGGTGCCACTCCTGTCAGCTAAGAACAAGAAACTGAGGCTACAATTTGCATGAGTCTTGATTTCTGCTGCGACATTCGGATGGTAGGGTCAGAACTTGAGGTCAACAACAGGAAAGCATGGATCTATCCAGCCCTGTATTAACAGTTCAGGCTAGTGGTGGTGTTATGGTGTGGGGGATATTTTCTTGGCACACTTTGGGCCCATTAGTACCAATTGAGCATTGTGTCAACACCACAGCCTCCCTGAGAATTATTGCACACAATGTCCATGCCTTTATGACCACAGTGTGAGAATCTTCTGATGGCTACTTCCAGCAGGATAATGTGCCATGTCATACAGCGTGAATCAGCTCAGACTGGTTTCTTGAACATGACAATAACTTCACTTTACTCAAAGGGCCTCCACAGTCACATGACCTTAATCCATTAAAGCACCTTTGGGAAATGGTGGAACAGGAGATTAGCATCATGGATGTGCAGGCGACAAATCTGCAGCAACTGCGTGATGCTGTCATGTCAATATGGACCAAAATCTCTGAGGAATATATCCAGTACCTTGTTGAATCTATGCCATGAAGGATTACAACAGTTCTGAAGGCAAAAGAGGGTCTTAACCAGTACTGGTAGGGTGTACATAATAAAGTGGCCGGTGAGCGTATATTCTTTGCGTTTTAAACTCCAGAAGTCAGATATTAAACCATTAATTTTTTTAGATACATTTTTAATGTGTCACCTGTTGGTATAAAGCCTGGAGAGAGTAACTCCATGCATTCCTTTCCTTGCACATATGAATGAATGATTTTAAATAAGATAATGCTTAACATGTAACACTAATGGTCAAAAACTTGGAAACATTCTTATTTTGTTTACTGTTTCTGAGGGAAAAGTATTTTCTGCTCATCATATGGCTGCGCTTATTAGGTAAAAAAAAACAAACAATAAAAACAGGTGAATTGCCTGATGTGAAAAATGAATGAATATATTTCTATTTTTACAATGACTGCTTTCTGTGTAACTGAATCTTTAAAGTGAATTGGTTTATTTGCATAATTATTCTAGTCTTTTGTGTTTTCAGTCTCACTGTTAGCTTCTCTCTTACTCAGGCCCAACAATGTCTGGAAGCAGATGTGTTGCGATCTCAGCCATGCATGTGCATTTGAATATATGTATTCTCTCGCATTCACACTTTGCAGTGGATTAAAGACAGAAATACGCCAAAATATGGTTTAGAAACTAAAGGTAGGACAGATGAAAGAACTTCCTGTATGTATATATCTCACTGAAATTAAATATATTATTTTATCATCCTAAAAATGTTATGAGCATACTCTTTAACTGCTTTAACTGTTAACTTTTTAATTAAAGTGTTAGTAATTGTTTTGCAATACAGAAGGGGACACACAATACTCATTTATGCTGGACACTATATGTTTGTAAACCCCTTTTTTAATGTGAACATCTAAGATCATAATAAATTAAATCCATGTCTTTAATCCACATCATGATCCCTGTAATGAATATTCAGAAACAATTCTCAACAAACATGCAATAATCTGCTCTCTACATACTTGTGGTGCTTGGAGTTGTGTTCTGCCCTCAGTCGCATCACATTCTCTGTGTATATTCCTCTGCATCCTATTAAACCAAGAACAGCAATGTTTAATATTATTATGATTTACAGACACTCAGACATGTGCAGAGATAGACACCAGATTTCTCAAAATCCAACATGAGAAAGTGATAGTCCAGGACACTGACTGAATCGAGGACAGACCAAAACCACAGATATAATGTTTACATAATTCAAACACTTCATTAATAGTTATTTTCATAATACTGTTAATAAATCCAATGTCATTCTTTTAACAAATAGATGTGAAACATAAGTGTCTATATTCAATATTGAATATTAAACATATATAATTCTTCTTTGTTGTCAAATAACAGAACAAATTCTAATGAACCAGTAATTTATAAAGCCAAACAGGAATCAGTGAGAAACGCCGCCATTTTATTAATCTCAGCATCACATTAACGTTACTCCTGTATTTGCAAGGTAGATGGAGTTTGACGAGACAGATCTGCTGATTTGAATAGAAATACACCATAATATATCGTGTTTAATGTGTATACAAGCGCTTATCGCCAATAACTTACATTTGAAGAACAAAATAAATGCTAAGACAAATCTTACCTGTACATGTATTTAAATCAACCCTGATTAAAAACTAATCATGAGTTCACCAAACGACCAGTCATGATTCATCAAACAGGAAATATTTACGAGTCAAACAAAGAGTTCCTAAAAAATCTGTTTATTTTGCTCCAAAAAAATAAAGGAAACACACAACCGCTAACTAGAGAAGATTAAAGATACACAGCGCAAAACTGACCAATCACGTATCAGTTGGCTGGGAAACGCTGGAACACATTCGAATTCTTACGAGAGACACCTCTTACATTCCACATTCGCCATTACTCTTACTTGACAAAGTGTTTAGTTGAGTTGTACAAAGTTTGCTTTGATTAATTTGCTTTTCGTACATTGTCAACTGATAGCGTACGATTTATTAAGGCTTACTCTGACAAACAAGCTTTACTTACAGTGAATTTCAGTATTTCTTGTAGGTTTATTTAACATTTCTCATATTTAAGTGTACGGAAATTAAACCAAAAATGTTATTTACCGTACTCGGAGTTATTTCTCTCTTCCTGAGAAAAAGAACCATCAATTCCACCGTCTCAGGTCAAGATAAAAACTTCGACCGTCAAGAAGAAGGATTGGTCACGGGATCCAACGTGGCCACCAGTGATGGTAAATAATGTTTTGTGTTATAAGAACATGTTGCTCATTTTGGATGCTGGAGTCTGTGTAGGGCTCTACCCTGATTTTACCTTAATGTAAAAATTATTTTTTAAGTGAATAATAATACTGGCCTTATAAAAACTGCTGTTTTAATCACATGTGGTGTCAAACATTCGTCACACAAACGTGTCTAATATGGTGCCAACAATAATATAAAATAACAGCTTTTGTCTGGTTTCTAGTCCAGATATCTCAAAATTCTTAAATAAAGAGTCTTTTTTCTAGACAAGCAAAAATATTGTCTGGTTATCATAAATAATAAGTCAAAAATTAAATTTTTTCCCCCTTAAAATACCAAAATTATCTGCCATCGAGAAAGCAAAATAATGCTTTGAAATACATTTGACTTCCCCTCTGGCAGATTATTTAGCTTGTTTTAAGAAAACCCCAGTTCATTTGTACATTTCTGAAAACAAGACAGTATTTTTACTTGTCAAGAAAATGCTTCTTGATGTCATGTTTTAGACAGAAACTGAGTAAAGTATTTCTGCTTTGCATAAAGTTTTTTCCATTATGCATTCATAATCCGTAAATACAAAATCATTTTCTCTGCTTCAAGATGGAACTGTGTGTTCACCCAAAAATGACAATTCTGTAATTAATTACTCACCCTCACGTCACTCCAACCCCCTGAGACCGTCTTCCGTCTTCTGAACACAAATGAAGATGTTTCTGAAAGCTCTCTCATCCTGCATATACAGCAAGGTTCCTGACTTGCTCAGAGTACATAAAAATACCACAAAACTTCCTCAAACAGACCAAATGCCTACAGTGGTTAATCAGTATATTATCAAGCTACAAGAATACTTTTGTTTAAACAAATTTATCAAACAGTTTATTCTCTTCAGTGTTGGTATATTACATGCGTTCACATTCACAAGCACTTTGCACTGATAAAAGCCCTGGATGCCTGTGCATGGCTCTCTGTTTTTTGAATGTTTCTGGCCTTTGATTGAGTCTGGACCCACGCTATCAATGGAGGATGAAGGAGCTCTAAGATCTGCCTAAAACATTATAATTTGTTATGAAAATGAACAGAAATATTGTTTACTGCCATACAAAATTAACAAATAAAATATTAAAACCTTCAATGTGATTTGAGTTCGACACCCGTTAGATCCCTTGTCTCTGCTTCTAATTTTTAGTCCTAAACCACTAAATCCTTCAGGAATATGTCCTAAAACACAATGCAGTGGTTTTAATGGATAACAAATGCTGATATTTAATGTTTTAATGGTTTTTGTAGTGGAAAACATGAAAACTTTTCTCATAGTTTTTAGTTGTTTTGCCAAGCTTAGGGTTATCAAAAACTAAAAGTTGAAAAAAATACCTTAAAAGTCACTTAATAACTGACAGCATTTGTTCATATCAATAATAAACACTGGATAAATATAATTCAAGTAAAACTAAAATATTTTGTTTCATATATTTCCTTCCTTCAGGTCGAAAAATCGGTGACTGGTGTAAAGAATCATCTTTGCATCTGGAGGAACAGATCAAGGTTCAGACAGAGAAACCGTCACTGGAGGAACCTGTTGATGGCCAGAGTGAAGAACCATCACTGGTAGAGCCTGACAGTGTTCCCGGTGAAGAACAAGCCAGCAAGTTTGCTAAGCCCGGCTGTAGTCATGATGACCCTCCAAATGTGGTCTCGGCTAAGCCCGGCTGTAGTCATGATGACCCTCCAAATGTGGTCTCGGCTAAGCCCGGCTGTAGTCATGATGACCCTCCAAATGTGGTCTCGGCTAAGCCCGGCTGTAGTCATGATGACCCTCCAAATGTGGTCTCGGCTAAGCTTGGCTGTAAAGATGTTGGCAAAAGTGCAACCTGTCAGACAGAGGGCGCTGTTCCACCAAAAAAGAAGAATAAAGACACAAACATCATTGGTAAGTTTACTATCATGACACCTCAGTTACCCAACAGACATGCACATTTTAATAGTTTTTAATGACTTATATGCTATAAACTGTCTTCAATACAGATTTTGTTCAGAGATTGCTGATAACTGAGATGGAAATATATATATAAATCATAAAAATCAAAATCATATATATATATAGGGAAGACAAAACTAAAAAAGCTTTTAGATGATGGGGTTAATTCTGTTGTTGTGACCCCTGATGAAGCAGGTAGTTTTAGATGAAGGTAGCACTGTCACTAATTCTCACATTTGATTAACTTCTCTTCTTTCTCTTTTCACAGAGATCAACTCACATCGCTATGAAATCGGTGCTGAGCTGGGCAAAGGAGGCTATGGAACCGTTTTCGCAGCGACCCGTTTACAAGATGGCCTTCGGGTGGCAGTAAAAATTGCAAATTTCAAGCCTAAGCGACTCTTCCGTGTTGTAAGTAGTCTGTGCTCTTTGCTCTGATTAACTGTTTCTATTTTAAACATGTCATATTAAAGGTGCTGTATGTAAGTTTTTGACTCTTTTAGAGCACAAAAATACCATAATATGTTTGCAGATATTTTAGAAACATGCTAAGTGTCAGTTAATCTCCTTTGAAAATGTGTCTGTCTTTGTTTTGCTCTCTATAATCTGCCCACTGGTTTTTATGTTAGACGTCACCAACAGTTTTAACAGGAAAAAACTTTTCCATTAAATGATCCTAACAACTGTTTTTCTTCTAGGATGATTTTAACCAGCTACTTCCAGCGGAGATCGCTCTGCACTTTCTTGCCACTAAAGGCCCCGAGGTTAAAGAACTCGTTCAGCTTCTGGACTGGAAGGTGGAGGCTGATCGCTACTTTATGGTCCTAGAGCGGCCCACACCCTGTGTGAGTGTGGGTGATTTTTTAAGAGACCATGAAGGCAGGATCCCAGAGGACGTGTTAAGGAAAATCATGTTCCACACAACAATAGCAGCTGACACATGCCTCAAACGTGGAGTGTTTCACCGTGATATCAAGCCTGACAACTTGCTGATGAACCCACAGACCTTTGAAGTTAAACTGATTGACTTTGGTTGTGGTGTTCCCCTTACTGAGGACTATTACATAACCTATTTGGGTATGTAAATCCCTCAAAGCTCTAAGGAGCTCTTGTGATGAGGCTCTTAAAACATCTGATGTTGTTTATCTATACCAGGAGTGCCAAAGCTCAGTCCTAGAGGGCTGGTGGCCTACAGAGTTTAGCTCCAACTTGCTTCAACACACCTGACAGAAAATGTCTAGAATAATTAGCAAGAGCTTGATTAGCTTGTTCAGGTGTCTTAGTGGGGTTGAAGCTAAACTCTGCAGGACACAAATCCTCGAGGACCGGGTTTGAGCACCCTTAATCTATACTATTGTTTACATTTTCGAAAGAAAATTTAGATGTTGTGCTAATGAAAATCTCTTTCTTTCAGGCACAGTGCAGTTCATGCCTCCTGAGTTAAAAAAGATTGGCTATTACTACGGAGAGCCAGCAACAGTGTGGTCACTCGGGCTTCTTCAGTTTTTGCTAATGTATAAAAAATTTCCAGAAAAGCGTGACCTCCGCAGGATGAAAAACAAAAATTATTACCAATATGGAAGGTCAGAAGGTGAGATCTCCACTTCAGCTAAAGATGGTTATGTAGGACATTTTGAACGTCAATGAAAAAACATATTTAAACTTTAAGGTAATAATTAAATGCATCTCTTCCTTTTTTTCTACACAGAATGCTGTGATTTCTTCAGCTGTTGTCTGCAAACTAACCCCAGTCTTCGGCAAAAGCTGAATGCACTCCGTGCCCATGCCTGGTTTAAGGTAATGAAAAGACTTTACAGGATTTTGTCATCAGTCAAATGAATCTGTCATGAGCTGAGTTTCCATTATAATGTGAAGCACATCTTTTCAAAGTTCACTAAATATATATTTTGTAATTATAAATGTGAATTATGAGCAAATGATTTCCATTAAGTTGGTCGAGCAGCTGAACTGTAGTATTGGTAACCTCGTAACCAACAGTAAACAAGGGAAGTTTAATTGAAAAATCAAAGTTCAATTGACAAATGCATTTCCATCATGAACCCTTTTTCACACAAATCCAAAATGACCTCAAGTGAGCATAAAACATTTTGTGAATTAAGGGATTCTTATTTAAACTTGTTTCTCATGTGATACTTGAAAAGGTGCATCAACACAGGCTGATGGAAACCCAGCTAGTGTCAGACGACAGTCTTGTGTTCTTCAATGTTCTCTTTTTTTAACAATTTAATTTTAATATGTTCCAGAGAATTATAAAAAAGATCTAGCATTTGACAAAGGACAGCTTCCAGAATCAGTCAAGAACAGTTCAGTGCTGGATTCGGCTAAAAACTCCAGCACCTCCAACCATAAAAGAAGAAGCAGAGGATTGTGAGCCAACCACAACAACATAGTCCTTTAGCTAAACATGACTTGATTCACAGAAAGCTGAACATAATTTGGTTCTGCAGTGTCATAGCTCTTATTGTAACATTTACACTGGCTCTAATTAAATTCCATGTAAAAAAAAAAAAAAAAAAAAAAAGAAGTTTAAACCTTCATATAGTGTACATAGCCCTTCCCACACTGTAATATCATATCTTGCACTTCCACATGCTAAAATAAAATGTCTAATTGAAATATATATAAAAATAAATACCTCAGTCGTTCCCAGTCCAGGTCCATACATTTTGGGGGTCTCTCTCTAAAAAATATAATTTGAGCCAGAGGAGAGAGACTCCTGACCAAAGAATACTGGGATCAACTGATATATATACAGGGTTTCCAATGAACATTATCACTCACCAGCCAATTTGGGAAAAAAAAAAAAAAAAAAACAGAAAAACAATTTATAAAATATAACAATAAAAAGTAAAAATTAATAAAATAAAAAACATCATTAATAAATAAAACAATGAAAAATAATAAAATAAAAAACATCATTAATAAATAAAACAATAAGTAAAAAATAATAAAATTAAAAATATCATTAATAAATAAAACAATAAAAAGTAAAAAATAATAAAATAAAAAACATCATTAATAAATAAAACAATGAAAAATAATAAAATAAAAAAACATCATTAATAAATAAAACAATGAAAAAGTTAAAAATAATAAACATTTTTATTCACAGTTTCTTTTCCTCAGTGTGATTATAGGGCACGCGTTCACAAGCACTGTGCTGTGACATATATCCCCCTGGATGCCTGCGCGACTTCCTCTCTGACTTCCTCTCTTAAAAACTTCACAGGCACATCCAAGGTTATATGACAGAGGCGCAACACGTGAACGCGTGCCCTATACTGACACTGAGGGAAGAAACTGTTGAATAAAGTTATTTTTGTTTTATGTGTCGTTTCCAGTTCAGGCCCATATATTTTGAGTGTCTCTCTCTAAGAAATGTAATTTGAGCCAGAGGAGAGAGACTCCTGATAAAATATAAAACATCATTAATAAATAAAACTATAAAAAGTAAAAAAAAATAAAAATAAAAACATAATTAATAAATAAAACAATAAAAACTGCCTACATTGAAATAAAAATCTAAAACTTTATATATTTATATGTTATGTTATTGACCGATCAGAAATTCTTCTAGAAACAAAATTTTTTTTTTAAATAAAACATTAAAAAAGTAAGTTATGTTATTTATTACTCATCCTCATGTTCATCATCAGAACTATTTTAACTATTTTTATTTTTATGTTAGAGCTCCCTCATCCAGACTCAAAGTCCACAAAAACAGTAAAAAACATCCTCAAAACAGATCATACGCCTTCACATAAAACAAACATTTTTATTCACAGTTTCTTCTCCTCAGTGTGATTATAGGGCACGCGTTCACAAGCACTGTGCAGTGACATATACCCCACGGATGCCTGTGCGACTTCCTCTCTGACTTCCTCTCTTAAAAACTTCACAGGCGCATCCAAGGTTATATGTCAGAGGCGCAACACGTGAACGCGTGCCCTATACTGACACTGAGGGAAGAAACTGTTGAATGAAGTTATTTTTGTTTTATGTGCACATAAAAGTATCCTCATAGTCAGGAATCTTGCTGTCTATGAGAGATTAAGGAGCTCTCAGATTTAACTAAAATATCTTCATTATTTTCATTCAGATATCTTCATTTGTGTTCTGAAGATGAATAAAGTTACTACCTTTAGTATTTGCTTTAATATTGTCCTCATATACAACCTTCTCTAGTCTAATGTTTTGCTAATGTGGTATATGATTTATGGTTGGAGGACATCATTTATTGACTAGTGATTTTGTGTCTAGTTGTAGTTCATGGTGAGTGATAATCCAAACCCTGTATATATAGGTGGCGAAGTCCGTTCCTCCACGTGGTGCCACTGGAAACTGCCCATCTTAAAGGTGGTGCTGAGCTGAACACGGACAAAAACTGACATTAGTTTGGGGCGACAAGCCTCACAACTGATGACAATGATGAATTTTGTACTAAAGTTTGAAATAAAGTCACATTTGTCAAAAATAAGTGCTTCTTCTATTTTTTAAATGCTGATTACTGCTGATTACTGTGTGTTTCAAATGAGATCATCCAGGAACAAACATGACAACGTTTGTAGATTTAACAAAGATTAGCTGGATTTAACATTACTGAGCTGAATGTGTTTGATGTACAAGCATACATGTGATGGAATTTTTAGCATTTAAGAACAAATGCACTGTAAAAATGCTTCCCTTCCAGCCGCAACACAGCACCATGCTGGGAAACACCCCTACACTCTCATTCACACACTCATTCACTATGGTCAATTTAGTTAATTCAGTTCACTTATAATGCATGTGTCTGGACTGTGGGGGAAACTGGAGCACTCTGAGGAAATCCAAAGAACACAGGGAAAACATGCAAACTCCACACAGAAATGCCAACTGGCCCAGCCAGGACTCGAACCAGCAAGCTTCTTGCTGTAAGGTGACAGTGCTAACCACTGAGCCCTGATCTGTTTAAGCAGCACTTTATCATTCAACAACAGCACTCCCTATTGTATTCTTCAACTCTTTAATCTGTTGTCCTGCTTCTTTGTTTATTTCAGAATAATAATACAAATACACACACTGCTAAAATAACTGAAGCCCTGGTCAGATCACACGAATATGTCATGATTTCGGCACGATTTCCTTGACGTAGGGATTCGTTGGGGATTCATACACATCAAATAGGCATCGTGACACAAGATTCAAATGTTTCTTCTCGTATAATGTGGCATAGTTCACGACAACTGATACCATGCTTGCTACACCTCATGACACTATCGCAGAAAGTCAAGCATGTTTAATTTTTTTCTCGTTCATCACAAGTTTCGTCACATGGGTGAGACTGTGCAATAGGAGCACACCATTTCTCGGTTATATCAGCGGGTGCTTCCGTAATGAGTTGGTCACAGGGGGATTAGATCAATCATTGGTTATGCAAGATTGTAGTTAGTTGTCTGCAAGCATCAGTGTTTATTGAAATTGAAATAATAAAAAATAAAAAAACTGAGATAAGAAATATTGTTATTGCAACACTCGTGACTGCTTTGGGAAATAACGCTTGTCGTAGACATCACGTGATGACTGATCGTGAAGGAATGTGTAGTCTGGCACATTTGTTACCCATGACAAATCAAGAACAAATGAATAAAAATTGCATAATCTGACAGAGTGACTTTCATAACCGACAATAAAAATTGTGTGATCTGACCAGGGCTTAAGACTTGTCACTGCATCTACATCTTGTTGTTTTCTGTTGATCTGAAGTGCTTCTATTATCTTTATGCTTTGGATAAAATCCTCTGCTAAATGTAAATCTATTTAAAGTTCAGTCATAGCAATGGAAATACAAAGAAATTAGATTTATGATTTGATGTGTTACTCATTTTATTAGCCACAGTCAGTGTTATCAGGAGTGTTAATAAAGTGAAATGCTTTAATGTTTATCAAGAACACACTCTAAGATGAATAATAGTTGTTTTTTTTACCTGCATTTCCTCTGAAAATAAATACAAGCGATGATAATCACTGAAGATGTCCGCTGTGGATGTGGTATATGTGTCCAGTTTCTAATGTTCTCCATACGCTTGAGTCTGCTAAAAAACAGAAGAAAGAGAGAAACTTTAAACAGCTCATTTGTGTCAAACATCAGGAGAATCCCAGCATCAGAAATAAACAGACGGTTAAAACATCTCAGACTGCTGATTAACTGTGAATGACTGTTTTATATTGATTATATAAATATAGATACTTCTGCAAATCTGTTTATTGGCTAAACTGGAACTATTTTAATCAAATAAGATGAAGAATGAATGAAACAATTCTTTTTTTTTATGTGAACACCTAGGAAAATATTAAAATAAAATCAATCAATGTCATGAACCCTTTAATCCATATCAAGATATCTGCAGTGAATATTCAGAAACATCCGTCAACAAACATGCAAGAATCCGCTCGCTACTTACTTGTAATTGTAGGTTTGTTCTTCTCTCAGTTGCATCACATTCTCCATGTTTATTTCCTTTGCATCTTAATAAACCAAGAACAGCCATGTTTAATATAATTGAAATAACTTACAGACATTTAGACATGTGCAGAAATAAACTCCAAGTGCTCCTACTCTGACTAGATAAGTGCATTTTTTGTCCAGTTTGAATTCTCATGTAAAAGTGTATTTCTAAAAGCATTTTTAGGCTTCTCTGACAATCCAACAGAGACGGTGCATACTAAAAGATGTCTACTGTACATGTAAATGTGTAACTAAAAAAAACATACAGCTGATTTAATTGTCCTTTATAAATCACAAAACTGTAGTATACAAGATTACTTATAACAACACAGTAATTGTGACAAAATACTGTGTGTTTCATATTTACATTCAATATGGTTATTTTCTATCCTACAATACTTTTTGTTGTGTTACTATTCAAGTGTGTTACTTTTTGCTTTGGCAATGTAGCTGTGTTTTCTATGGTTCTGTTTATTTTGTTATTTGCACAACAGCACAGTAATGCTGTGTATAGTGTTAAGCAGGAAAAACACCTGTACTGTATTTTAGTTATCAGATTTTTATTTTATTTGAAATGTTGTACAACTAAACGTTTTAAGCAGGAGAAAGCCTGTACTGTATTTAATTATTAACGATTTTGTACAGCTGTTATTTTTTGTGCAGCTGTTTATTTGTAAACGGAGAGGGAGCAGAGAGGGAACATTTGTTTTATTTATATTTCGCTCAAAAAAAAATGTTTAATAAAGTTTAAATAAAGGTTTTAACCCTGTAAGACCTGACCTGTCAAAAAATAGTCAGAAAATTCAAATTTTCTGGATCTGGGATGATTATTAAACCATTAAGCAAAAACAATTTTTTTTTTTGCCATATACATTTTTTTTTCATGATATTTATTTTGTATCACATTTGATACATAAGGCGTTTGTGCAACTTTTTGCTCAAAACAATGATAATTTTAATTACAAAAAAAATTAATTTGCCCTTAACTTTTTGACAAAAGAGAACATTTCAGGCAGTTAATCTCTTTATTTTTTGTTACATTAAGCATTTTACAGTGTTTTATTATTTCACATTGTGGTATGTGTATCCGTAGTTTCAGTTCTTGTTCAGGCAAAGATGCACTTTTACATTTACACAGTACACAGAAGTGAGAAGTCATTGCTGGTGCAGTGTTTTTATCTCTGTCAGGTTTCTCTATGTTGGAAAATGATCAGGATCATACCTTCTAACATTAAAAAAGCACACCGCAGCTTGACCTTTTATGGGGTGCATGCCTAGGACTTTAACTTCTTTGGCATCTGTGTTTATAGACTTGCCATCTTTGAATATATTGTGCAGGTTTGTTTGTTCTCCAGTGTCCTGTAGCATTTCATCAGTGGCAAACTATTTCCATACTGCACATATACAGAGTCCAGAGTCCATAATAATAGATGGCAATTAAAGTGCCATTGAGCAGTTAGGGGAAGATGATGAGGAAGGATGGAGTCCTCAGGCCATGCATGATGATGATGGTCATTCAGACAGCTGTGATGAGGAAGACTATCAAGAAAAAAGTTTAGTCCAGACAAGTAGATGAGGTCCCAACAATACAAACACAGGACACAGTCAGAAAACAGTCGGTATGAGTCCTCAGCAGATGCAATGAACTCAACAAATGTACCATGATATTGTATTTTTCTTCATCTGTATTCTTTCATTTTTGCATTGCCAGTTGCTGACTGCTTTCTGACTGTGTTCTGTGTTTGTGTAGTTGGGACCTTTACTTCTGTGCTTGTCTAGACTAAACTTTCTTCTTGATATTCTTCCTCATCACTGCTGTCTGAATGACCATCATCATGCATGGCCATGCATCCTCATCTTCCCCCAACTTCTCTCTGTCACTTTAATTGCCATAGACTATTACGCTGATGACATTTTCAAGACACTTTAATTTTTCTATCATCTTCCTCTATTCTTTTGACATCTAAAAATACACATAAATTGATCAATATAGTTTATCAATTATAAATTATTGTAAAAATACCCACAATGTATTTTAAAATAGTATTTCAGTCACTATTTATATTAATTTAATCATCCAAAAACAGTGTGTTTGCATTGTAGTAGGCATTATATTGATTACATTACAAAAATGTGACATCATTGTTCGGAAATAAAGCTCCTTTTATACCTGTTGTATCAAATTTGATACATGATTTTCAACACAATTTATTTGCAACAAAATAAATTAATTATTAAGTAATTATGCTTTGTTTCAACCAAGAAAACCTTTATTTAATAAAATTAGTAACAATCTAATTCAACAATCAATTCTTCTACGAGTGATGTCACTGGGGGTAGGGTTAGGGGTGGGGTTGGTGTACGCATTAAAACAGCTTACAGGAGGAGGAGCGAGAGCTCATGCTCCCCCTCGCTGGAGCTCAGCTTTGCTCAAATGGCTCTGCAGCGAGCACCCTCTCAAAAAAAGCCCTTCCACAGCCTGCAGTGTCATGAAAATCCACAAGGGGGGAGAATACAAGTATCACTTTATATACAACAGGTTTTTAAACAAAGTATTGATCAGGTTGATATTATATAGGTCTTAGAATCTTGTGTATCAAATATGATACGTGCGGCTTTATAGGGTTAACTCTCAAGTAACCATTTATGGGAAAATACTGGATATATATCGTATACCGTCATTCCTTCTAAAAATAAAGTGATATGATTTTTTAGTGTCTTGCAAAACCACAGGACTTTGTCCAAAGATGTCATAAATATAAACAACACTGGATGTAAGAGCAATTTTTAAAACCTATACATAACCAAGGGTTAAATTTAAAAAAAAAATCCTGAGCCTGAACTTTTTTTTTTTTCGGGAGGGGGGTGAAGAGAAACTTACTTGGACTTACTTGAAGGACTTACTTCAAATATTGACAATAATAACAAAAATAAAGTAACACGTGCTTAAAGTGCTTAAAAAACTGGCAAACTAAGACTGAGATAGACTCTTCAATGATTATGCAGTGCACCATTTATTTAAAAGTACTATGTCACAAAAATGTTTTCTTCTAAACAATAACAAGGGCTTAAATAACAAGTGCTATAAAATGCTAAAGAACTGATTTGCTAAACTGAATATTAGAAGTGAAATCAAGGCCATTATCAATTTTTTATTTTACACTCTTTATTTGAAAGATATTTGGACAAGAAGATGGAGCTGGTCCAGTGGAGGAGGCTGAGGGTCTGCTGTTTGTCCAATCATGTTTTTATCTTTCATCATATTATATCATCAAATCATATTATCATCATATTATATCATCATATATCATCAAATAAAAATATCAGGCTACCTCAAATCGATTGCTCCACAAAAAAATATGCATTTAATTAATGCTCCGCTGTTTATTATTTTTTATTATTTTTTAGTTTATTATTATTTCACAAAATATCTGTCAACCTTTTTAATAAGTCATTAGATTGAAGATAATGTCTTATGATTATGACTTATTTCCTCCTCGCAGTTTATGTGTGTGTGCGCTGCGTGTGATGAAAGAAAATGAACCTCTAAGACTCTATTAGGTGCGTGTCAGAATCTGCTTTTGCTATTTTAAGGATGGAAAAATTCGCTTTACGCCGTGGAGCATAATAGGGTTGAGCTTATTCTCTTAATGAGTTATAGGTGTGTTTTGAGAATAAACCAACCATTTGCTATTTCCTTGGTGGACTTTGTAAGTATAAAAACTGAACGCTTCACAATAGAGAAAACAGTTAAAGAGCCCATATTATGGGTTTTTGAAAATGCCCTTCCCTGTAGTGTGTAACACAGCTCTAAGTGAAGTGAAGTATCCAGCTAAGGCTCAAATCTGTTAGTGTACAGTGTTTAAAACAGTTGATTCATCTATAAAAGAGTCGACTCATAGTGCTTCAAACGAGTCGCCTTGATAAAGAGTCATTAGGTGTTTCACCATGACGTACTAACGAACCAAGTTATTCACGTGCATGTGCAAACCCGGGAGATTTGAAACCTGCGGCCCCGTCCTCTGACACAGAAACCCAGACACACACACACCCACAAACACACACACACAAACATGCCGGTCGATTGAAGTCACACTGCAGATGGATATTATTGAGTCTCTACCTAAAGATGAAACCTCAGCATTATAGCCAAGCAGTTGGAAACTACTGGAAACTTCTGGAAACTACATGCTACAAAGAATACTTCATCGGCGTTTGTTAAAGGAAGGATCAGTAAAGAGTAACTTACTGCTGGACATGTCAGGATGGGTTTCTTCCCCCATTTCTCAAGTGTAAGTACGTGCGATTAAAGTTGCCTCGTTTACTCTAGCTTGCAAATGTATTTAGTTGTGATTTGTTACTTGTAACCGCGTGTACTGTATTAGGTTAACTCGCTATATTCTCATATCGCGTGCAAAGCCACGTTAAAAACGCGACGCTTGCCGCTTTGTTTACAGATCGTCAGCTGTTCCTACACATATGAAGCTGTCAAGTTTCAAAATAGTTCTGCTTTGTATACGGAGCTCCGTGGAGAAGGGTAGTGTGTGTGTGTGTGTGTGTGTGTGTGTGTGTGTGTGTGTGTGCACGCGCTGTCGTCCGGAGGTGTGTGTGTGTTTGTGTGTGTTTGCGCGCGCGTTGTCGTCCGGAGCAGAGTTAAGTGTTTGTGCGTATGTGTGTGTGTGTGTGTGTGTGTGTGTGCGCGCAAGGATGAGGGCAATATGTGTGTGTGTGTGTCTGTGAAAAGAGCAGAGTGCGACAAGCTAGAAGATCTCTTCAACTGTTTTTGGAGTTTTTGCTCAATAAAATATTCGTCTGTATTTTCAAGTCCATCGTCTGTATTTACATTGACCCACTGGCAGCTAAAATCCACACCTTACACTATCGAGCGTGTATGAACTGTGATTACTTTTATATTGCTGATTAGCTGTTGGGCATATTACTCTCTTACTGAAGGCAGTCGACCAATCGCAACAGACTGTCATCGGTCCAATCAGCGCAGATTAGCTTCGCGCTAAGGAGG